CCCAAGCATGGCAGTCAGTCCTGGCGCAGGAAACGGGACAAGAGAAAAAGCCATCATACCTGCCAGTCTTCCTGAAATACAGAGATGACATCACGGTTGTTATGCTTCGAATATGCCAGGATAGATATTCATTTCCTGGAGGAGCCAAGCCTATGGAAAGAAAGAAAAACAGGGATGAGGTGATCTTATTTTACTGGGGGAAGCCCAGAAGAAGCATGTAACACGAGGTACTGTATACTTGTTTCTTCAAGTAATACATTATTTCTGTTGAAAGTTGATGGGAGATGGTTATATTCTTGCAGACTTTTTTCCTCTAACCATGTTTCTAATTTGTGATCAGTCCTCTGTCACTTTCAACAGCAATCGAGCTTCAGAAAGCTTTCAGATGGGAGAAAGGCTGATTGCTATTTTCTATGTTGTTAGAACTTTCCACTTTTCCACTTTTTCATGGTTGCATCTTTTTCTCAGTGTCTCTGTTGTGGCAGCTGTAATGAGACCTCTGCCAGGTCTTCATGGCAGGGACACGATTGACAGAAGGCCCAAAATAGTGCATTTCAAATTCACCAAGTCCTTTATAATAAGAAAGTTCCTTCCCACAGGCTCCCAGCAAGGGTGTGAAAGCAAGCCTAGTTCTCTGGAGGCTTGTTTAACTTTAATGTAAACTGGTTGGAGACTCCCATCAGCCATGCAAAAACTCTAAAACTGTATTGATACTAAAACTTCTTTCTTTCTTTTTCACAGAGTCAGCTTTGCATAGTGGTCTGTGAGTTCTCCTATGGCCACCTTCATGGCTGCCCCACATCTCAGACGTATGTCTTCCCTGATAAATTATCTTATATGTCTAATCCCATCCTGGATGACCCTGGTTGGTAAAAACTAACATACCAGGTTTGATTCTTTGCACTTAGTTTTTTTGCTTTCTCTCCCACAAGTAGCTGCAACCGTCCTAGTGTTTCTATGTGGTACCTCTCTTTCCCACATACATATGTGAAACCGTACTGTTGAGGGGCACGCCCCATGTGCCAGGCCTCATAAATGCTTTAACTACCACGACCACAGTAACTCTGTCAAGTAGATATTATTTCCATTTTGCCGATGAAAAGACAGAAGCTTAGAGTAGTGTAAAACCTTTCCTGGTGTCGATATTAGTAATAGGTGGATCTGAGATTTGATGCTGGGACTATTTGACCTCAAGGCTAATGATGATGGTAGTAATATAGCAGTTGACATTGGTCTTCGCCTGTGTGTGGCATCTTGTTTCATTGACTGCATGAAACCTTTAAAAGAATGGTATGAAGCAAGTTCTCTGTTACTTCAGGATTTGAAAGAAGAACAAACTAAGCCTGCCACAGTGAATGAAGGAAACAATAATGATTGGAGTGGATGAAATAAAATGGAGAATGGAAAAAGAATACAGGAAATTAATGAAACCAAAAGTTGATTCTTCAAGCAAAATCAACAAAGTTGACGCACTGTATTAAATAGACTGACTAAGAAAAAAGAGAGAAGATTAAAATTACTAAAATCAGAAATGAAAATGGAGTCTGAATATGATGGGTCATATTTTAATCCTAGCACTTTGGGAGGTCACAATGGGAGATTTCTTGGAGGCTGTGTTTACCTCAGCATAGGTAACCTGGGGAGACCCAGGCTCTACAAAAAAAGAAATAAAAATCAATTAGCTGGGCATGCCATTGGCACGAATCTGTATTCCTAGTATCTGGGAGGTCAGTTAGCTGAGAATTGCTTGAGCCCAGGAGATTGAGGCTGCAGTAAGCCATAATCATGCCACTGTATTTCCAGCCTGGGCTGCCTACAAAGTAGAGAGAGCCTGTCTCTCTCTGTTAAAGAAAGAAAGAAAGAAATAAAAAAGAAAAATGAAGTATTACTACCTATATTCTAATAAAAATGATTATGAAATTACTGGAAATAATTGTATGCCAATAAACGGATAACCTAGATGAAATAGATGAATTCCCAGAAAACACAAAAATAAGGAATAGAACTATAATCAGTAATAAGATTGAATCAATAAAAGCATTTGATGGAATTCAATGTTTTTTCACAGTAACAACATTCTAACTAAGAATGGAAGGACACCACCTCAACATAAAGACAATATGTGAGAAACCCAATGCTAACATCATACCAATGGAGAAATACTGGAAAAGATTTCCCAAAGTGAGCAGGAACAAGACAAGGATGCTGTTGACACTTCCATTCAATGTAGCATTGAAAAATCTAGTCAGAAAATTAGGCGTAGAATTTTTAAAAAGACATTCAAATTGGAAGAAAGAAGTAAAATTATTTCTGTTTGCAGATAACTTGAACTTATATGTAGAAATTTAAAGATGGAACAAACCTGTTAGAATTAAATGAATCAGTAATGTTGCACAATACAAAAATCAACATTCAAACATCAGTCGTATTTCAATACACTGACCATGAACAATCTGAAGGGAAATTAAGAAAAAATTTTTAAGTTGTATTAATATCAAAAAGAATATTTTAGGAATAAGTTTAACTAAAGAGGTAAATGATTATAATTTGAAATCCATGAAATATTGCTTAATGATGACATCAATAAATTGAAAGACATTTTGTTTTCATGAATTAGAAGACTCAATATTGTTAGGAGGACAATGCTACCCAAAGTGAGCTCCAGATTCAATACACTTCCTATCAGAATCTCAGTAACATTTTTGCAGAAAAAGAAAAATCTGTCCTAAAATTTATATTGACTCTGATGACTCTAACAGACACCTTGAAGAGAAAATGAAGCTGGAGGACTCACTCTTCCTGATTTCAGCATTTATTACAAAGCCCCCAACAATCCAAATACAGTGTGTGGTACTGGCATAAAGGAGGACATAGAAATTAATGAAATTGAACAGAGAGCCCAGAAAGAAATACTTACATATATGACTAAATGATTTTCATCGAGTGTGCCAAGATCGTTCAATGGGGAAAGGACAGTATTCTCACCAAATGATATTGGGAAAGCTGGATATCCAAGGCAAGAATGAGGAACTCCTTACCTAACAATTCATACAAAAATTAACCCACAATAGATCAACGATCTAAATGTAAGAGCAAAAACTATACAACTCCTAGAAGAAAAGATAGAAGAAAACCTTTTATGATATTGATTTTTGCCAATGATTCCTTTTTAGTTGTAACAGCAAAAGAATAGGCAACAAAAATGGATAAATTGGACTTCATAAAAATCAAAGCCGCTTTTATATATCTAAGAACATTATCAAGAAAGTAAAAGGCAACTCATGAAATGAGAAAAATATTTGCAAATTATATGTGTGATACCTAATTAATTTATAGGATATATGAAAAACCAGAAGTCAACAACAGCAAACATCCAAAAACCCAATTAAAAAATGAGCAAAGGATTAAAATAGAGTTTTCTTCAGGGAAGATATACAAATATCCAATAAGGCCACGCAAAGTTACTCAGCGTCACGAATACTTAGAGATATGCAAATCAAAACCACAACGTGACACCATCTCACACACTTTAGGGTGGCTTTGATAAACAACAATAATGACAGCAACATAAAACAACAAGTGTTTTCAAATAGATGGAAAAATTGGAGCTCTAGTACATAGCTGGTGGGAATGGGAAATGTTATAGCCACTGTAAAAAGTGGTGTGGCTGTTTGTCAAAAAATTTAAACAATAAATTACCATTTGATCCAGCAATTCCACTTCTGGACATACTCCCTATAGAATTAAAAGAAATTTGAACAAATGTTTGCACATTGATGTTCAGAGAAGCATTACTCACAATAGCAAAAAAATGGAAACAACGGAAAGTCCATTGAAAGATAAGTGGGTAGGCAAATGAGGTACATCTATACGTCAAAATGTTATTCAAGCTTAACAAGGAATAAAATTCCAATACATCGTGCAAAATGGATGAACCTTGATGACATTATGCTAACTGAAATAAGCCAGACACAAAAGGATAATTATTATATAATTTCATTTATAAAAGATAGAATAGCTAGTTACATAGAGACAGAAAGTAGAATGGTGGGTGCTAAGGCTTAGGGGGAGAAGGAGTGAGAGTTACTGTTTATAGGGTACAGAGGTTTAATATGGTAAAAGGAAAAAGTTCTGGAAATGGATAGTGTGATGGTTACACAACACTAAATTGCACACTTAGAAATAGTTAATGATAAGTCTTATAATAGCTATATATAAGTGTCCTGGTAGTCTTACACTCTATAAATACACGCTTTTTGGCATTGCCCCTTTGCTGCCATGCAGAGGCCCAGAGGTGAATCTCCCTATTTCTCCAAGTGTACATCACTCATTGTCCTCTTTGCTGTGTCCCACGTGCTGTGCCCACAGCCTCATATGGCCGGTGACTTCAGAGCCAGGATACAACTCCAGAGTCTGCCCCAAGGCTCCCTCTCTTCTTATTTCCCTGCAGCCTAGGCTTCATTTCAACCGGCAGCTCAATTTAGTTGAATTCAGGACAGGCCATCAGGGGTCTTTCTCCAGCAGAGGAGGCAGCAATCTGAGCTGCTCCTCTCTCATCCAAGGGGCTTCCTCCTCTCATTTGAGGGAAAAATGCGAGCTTGTTTCAAAGCCTCAGATGTTCTTTGTAGCACATGGAGTAAGTAAAATAAAACAAAGACGTGGCAGAAAGGGATGTGTTGGAGACAGCGAGAAGCAACTTGATCTTGAGGACTCTCCTTCTTGTCCCTCTATGAAGCCTCTTCCACCACATAGGGCTCAGGACTGACAAAGCCCCCTCCCTACCCTTCTCAGACTGGACACAAGGTCAGCCTTGAGAAAACAGAGAAACAAGGAGAAGAGAGTCTGTAGAGACAAATTGAGAGGGTTCAGGAGGAGAATTTAGGATTTGCTTCTGCCCATGGGACACAGGCTGGGAATAAAAATGTTTTCTTAACTCTTCTCTGAAAGCCAGATAGACTCCACCTAAAACCCTATTGCCAGTGATGCAGGGATCCACTTACCAGAGACTATGACAATCTTGAATGTGGAACATTCCTTGCCAGTGGCTGAGTTACGAGCAGAGCAACCATAGATCCCGTTATGCTTTGTACTAATATGGGGGATAAAGAGCTCTTGTCCTGTTTGCAGAATCTTCCCATTAACCGTCCAAGTATACTCTGCCGGTGGGTTAGAGTTCGCAAAGCAGTACAGGTAGAGGTTATCTCCTGAACGGTAATTGGTGAGTGAAGGGAAAATGCTGGGGCAATCTGGGCCATCTGGAGTAAAGAGAATAAAGCCACAGATGATGTCGTCTGAGGGAAGGGGATGCTCCTGGTCTCTCAAAGGGACAAAGTGTCCCTCTGAGCCAAGACACACCCTCAAGGCCCAGCCAAATTCCTTCTGTCTTCACTGAGCCGAGGCCTGAGGTATTCACGTCTTTCTCCCATCACAGGCTGTAGACCCCAAGTCTCCCATGACAAGAGCAGCCTCTCCCTTTATATTCTTGCTTAAGGCTGTGCCTAGCCAAGTTTTCCCAGGGCAGGGAGTCATGGCCAGCCCTGGTGTCCAGAAATAAAAGTGTCTGTATTGGACCTGAGAGAGACTGAGATGCTTGGCCTCTGGTCGCTTGGATTTTTGCTGGTGGCCTGTTCCACAGAGGAACCAAAGATAAAAAGGACATCCAGGGTGACTGGGTCACTGTAGATGCTACCAACTTGATCCCATATTTCACATACATAGGGTCCTGTGTCATATCTTGTGACATTGGCTAGAATGAGGATCCTGTTTTTACCGGGTTGCTTTAGCCTGAGACTGACCGGGAGGCTCTGACCATTTACCCACCACACGTAGGTGTAGCCCTGAGTCTTAGGTACACAGGTTAAGGATACATCATTCTTGTTCTCCTTGGGGTTGAAGTTGTTGCTGGTGATGTAGGGCTTGGGCAACTCTGCTGGGTGGATAACAGAGAGAAGATTGTCCTGTGTGGCACCTTTGATTCCTCCACAGACATCCTTCAATCAGAGTTGGCGTCTCCCACCTCTCAGCCCACCTGAGTCCTTGAAAGTCAATAGCTGGTGTGTGTGTCACAAGACAGATGTATGATGATCTAAGGGCTCAAAGACTATGAGGCCGCCTGCTCTGTCTTAGGGAAGCACAGACTTTCTCAAGTGTGAATTTAGCAGCAGTGTTTGGTCACGGACAGACATGTCAGTGGGAGTCACAGGCCCTGATAAACCTCCCAGTCCCTCTCTAATCCATTGACTGGCTGGTTCACCTTGGGTTCCTTACCTGGAATGTGCCACTGCTGGGCCCCTTCCAAATTCCATCCTACTTTGCCCCGCTAGATGTGATTTCTCTGCAGCTTCCATTTCCAAGGACATTCTAGAGATGAGTAATAATGGGACTTTCCATTGTCCTGAAACCCTAAGATACTGAACAGCCTTGCCTGGGACTGGATGTTTCAGCAGAAATAAGACATGGGAGACCAGAGTCAAACCTGGAGGTCAGTTCAGTCCTCAGGCAGTGGAGGTACAAGGTGGGGTGGTTTTTTGCAGGTGTTTCATGATGACTTACTTGAGCCAGTGACCTCCAAAGATAGAGCAGAGGGTAAGGAATGATCTAGAAAGAGTGAAGGGGACAGGCAAAAGCTGGTCGTTTTGGAGCAGAAACATATTCCCTGTCCTGGGTTTTTTATTTCCTTCTCCCTCTGCAGAGGGCAGGTGGCTCTTCCTTGATAGCCAGATAGACTTCACTGGAAAACATATGGCCAATGCTCCATGGATCCACTTACCAGTTTCTAGAGATGAGTAATAATGGGATCTTTCCATTGTCCTGGAAACCCTAAGATACTGGGAACAGCCTTGCCTGGGACTGGATGTTTCTCAGCAGAAATAAGACATGGAGACCAGAGTCAAACCTGGAGGTCAGGCCCACAGTCCTCTCAGGCAGTGGAGGTACAAGGTGGGATGGTTCTTTGCAGGTTTCTTCATGATGACTTACTTGAGCCAGTGACTCCAAGATAGAGCAGAGGGTAAGGAATGATCTAGAAAGAGTGAAGGGGAGAGGCAAAAGCTGGTCGTTTTGGAGCAGAAACATATTCCCTGTCCTGGGTTTTTATTTCCTTCCCTCTGCAGAGGGCAGGTGGCTCTTCCCTTGATAGCAAAAGAAAGAGCACCCTGGTCGGAAACATATATGGCCAATGCTCCGCGTGATCCACTTACCAGGAACTATGATGCTCTTAATTTATGATTTGCTCCACCGCACCGAGTTATGGATAAAACAGTCATAGGCCATTCTATATGTTTTAGTGATTTGGGGGGATAAAGAATTTAAAGTTGATTGCTGAACTTCCCATCAATCAGCTAAGAATGCTCTGCCAGTGGGTGAGAGTCTGTGAGGCAGGAGAGCTTGGGGACTTCCCCTGGATGGTAATAGGTAAAAGAAGAAGAAATGGTGGGGGTATTCAGGGCCATCTGGAGCAGAAAAATAAAGTCATGGGCAGGTGATGTTTGTCAGAGGGAAGGAAAATCCTGGCCTGTGGAAGGGCCACAGTGACCCTGTGAGCTAACTCACAAATACTGAAGTCCCAGCCAAATCCCTGCTGTTCACTGATCTGGAGCTTGAGATAAACACCCAGAGCCTCCTCCCATCATACCTGTGGACCCTGATTTCTCCCATGACAGAAGCAGCGCCTCCTTTCTCTCCCATTGTTGATCAAGCCCTTAAGCCTACCTTAGTCATCATGGCCAGCTTGATGTCCAGGTTTAAAGGTCTCCTGTTCTTGGACTGAGAAGGTGGTAATTTCCTCTGGCCTCTGGTCATGTGTATTTGGGATGGCAGCCTGGCTCACAGAGGAATGAAGATACAGGAGATTCAGGGTGACTGGGTCACTGCGGCTGGAACTCACTGTGTTCTTCATTTCACATTCATAGGGTCCTGCAGTATCCTTTGTGACACCAAATAGAATGAGGGTCCTGTTGTTTTCGGACAGCTGCAACTTATGACTGATAGGGAGGTTCTGACCATTTATCCAATTACACAGGCAAGCGCTTACATCCTGAGTGCGTCAGGATCATGCAGGATAAGATCACAGTCTCCCAAACACGCCTCCTGGGGTTTAAGTTGCTGGAGATGGAGGGCTTGGGAATATCCAGACTGTGCAGATAACAGAGAGAGAAGATTGCACTGTGTGGCACCTTTGATTCATACAAAGGCATTTTTCAATCAGAGATGGTCTTTCCCACCTCTCAGCCCACTCAAGTCCTAAAAAGCCCATGGCAGATGTGTGTGTGTTATAAGACAGGATGTATGGCAAATCTGAGGGCCTGTAGACAGAGGCTGCCTTCTGTATGTGGGAGTTGCCAGACTTTCTCAAGTGTGAACTGAGCAGCAGCATTGATCATGGAAAAAACATGGGACCAGCAGTCACAGCCCTGGCTGCCTCTGAGTCCCTCCCCTCTCCAACTGCCTGCCTAGCTCCTTACCCCAAACTCACCTGGAGCATGCAGTGCTGGAATCTTCTGCTTCAGTCTTACTTGCCCCCAAGGTATGTTTCTTTTCTGCAGCTTCCTTTCCAAGGGCATCTTAGAGATGGATGATGAAACTTCCCATTGTCCTTAAACCCTTTGGGTACCTGGGGAAGCCTGGCCTGGGATCACTGGGTACTTGGAGCAGAAATAACACAGGGGAGACCAGAGTCGAGCCTGGAGGTGTGTCGTCTAGTCATCAGGCAGGAGTCACAAGGTGGGCGGTTTTCCCAGCTGTCTCCTTCTAGTAAGTGTCTTGAGCCAGTGACTCTAAAGATAGAGCAGAGTCCAAGGAATAACCTACAAAGAGTGGAGGGGGACAGGCAAGAGTTTATATAGCTTTGACCAAGTCCATATTCCCTGTTCTGCATCCATGATGTCTTCCCCTGTAGAGGCAGGTGAGGACCATGTGGATCTTTCTAGAAATACATGTGGATGTTTGCAAATGCAGAACTGACTGGTGGAAAGGGCAAACATGAACTGATGATGGAAGTCTGGCCCTTCATGGACTCCTATGTGTTTGTGACTATTAGAGCAATATGTGGGAAGAAGTCTTGCAGACACTTTCTCTCATTAGACATTCTACTCTCTGATTCTAGGAAAGCAGGACTACTTCTCTATGTACTATCTCAGTGGATTCCAGAGTGAATCATAGAGTAGAATAGTAGTTTCCAGGAGCTGTGGCGGGAATAGGCATTGTTCCATGGCTGTGCGGTTTGTGTTATGCAGGGGGATGAGGAGGCTCGAGAGATCTCCTGTACAGTTTCATGCCTGTAGTTCATACAGATAAAGTGTTCCTTATGCAGAAAGCTTAAACCAAGGTTTTGATTCTAACTTTTTTATTTATTTTGAATATTTATGGCAGATGTACTGTGTTAGCATCCCAAATCTGAAAAATTTAAAATCCAATATGCAGCCCAGGGAGCACTTCTTTTAGCATCACATCTGTGGTCAGAAGGTTTGGATTCTGGAGCATTTCAGATTTTGATTTTGATTTGGGATGCTCAATTTGTGTATTACTGTAATTTTCCCATAAAGTTGTCAAGAGTTTAGGACCTCATGTTATGTTCTGGACTCTAGTAACAACAAAACAAAAAAGATTTGGGAGGAAACATTAAAATGTTGTCATAAGTGGAAATTCTTTACTGATGGTCCAAACATCTAAGATCGATTGTTAGTTATAGTATTTCTCTTTGATGCCCAATAAGGTTTAGGTGTGGGTGAATTCCAGCAGGATCACATTGTTGCCCAAAAAGAAAGATGCCAAAGGTGATTTGAAATTAGCAAGTCCTTAAGTAGAGAGAGTCCCGTTAAAAGGACAGAACTGTCAGTGTCAATTGGGCATAAAGCGGTGAATGATGCCGAATTCATTGCGCAGCTTTATGATATGTGTTGGCGTTAGTAAATTTCAGAAAGTTTCAATTTCTGTGCAGAAGTTAGGGAAAAAATGGGGAAGAGCCCAAAAAGCTAGGTATATGTGAAATGCTTTCTTCATTTTCTCTTAACCTCAGGAAATACAACTGGAGTTTAAGTTTGTGTGAATCCTCCAGGGTGATTTCCATGAGACGCCAGTGGCTCATGTGTCCCCTACACGGCTTGAACCCCAACTTATGAAAATGGCATCATCAGGAGGAACAATCGTGATGTGTGGCACAGGCTGTAAAACCATATGATAGCACCCCTGGCCACCTCCAATAGGTCCCCGAAAACCACCAGTATTCCCATTATGTGTAAGTTACAGCCTTCATTGTACCACAACTACAAAAAGCCTTCCTAAAAAATTGCTATTGTCAATAAAGCAAAATGTTAAATATGAAGTGGGATATATTGTTTCATTCCCCACTCTTGGAACTTTTCCTTTTTCTAAGCCTTGTAGTTTCTATTGACACATCCCTCAAGTTAGGATTCTTTTCTCAGCTGTGTGCATTCTACCAGTAGGAATCAAAAACATTCTTCATTTCTCTAACAGCAGGTTTTTCTTTTTCTTTTTTTTTTTCTGAGATGGAGTCTCGCTCTGTTGCCCAGGCTGCAATGGCAAGATCTTGGCTCACTGCAAGCTCCATCTCCCAGCCTCTGCCATTCTCCTGCTCCTCAGCCTCCTCAGTAGCTGTTAGGAATTGCAGGTGCCTCGCTACCACGCCCGGCTAATTTGTTTGTATTTTTAGTAGAGATGGCATTTCACTGTGTTTGCCAGGATGGTCTCGAGCCCTGACCTCATGATCCGCCCACCTCGGCTTCCCAAAGTGCTGGGATAACAGTTGTTAGCCACTGTGCCGGCCATCTCTGAGGGATTTTAACGAGTTGTTGACTTTTGAGTTTGTTCCACTGTTTACTTACTGTTAGAAACTGACTGACAACTTCAAGCCTGTTATATGGCTGGGCAAGGACAGGAAACTGTAAAGGTCTCTAGGAAGTGGTTGAGAATGTGAACTCCACAGTAGGTTGAGGATGGAGTCATGAGTGCAACGTGAAATCAGCCCATTGACTCTGGAAGACTGCAGGCCTGCCCAGCCTCTAACACCCCCTGGCGAGCTGCGCACAAAAGATTGCTGTTAGTGATTAGGAGCAGCAATCAGAGCATGGCCGACTCCATCTGGCATCTAGTCTCAGGCTGCTGCCCTCACTCATTCCTGACATAGGCCAGGCTAACCATGGGTGGAATGTAGTTTATGGATTAACTTTGAAGCAAGAATGATAATAGTTACCAAATGTCATTTCCACAGAGTTTACAAAGTTTGCATCTAATTGCTCCTGTAGATAACATCACTATTGTAGGAACCTGGAGATTGCGTGTTTTGATGTTTCTCATTCTTGCATTCTGTCAACCCGCTGACCATCCATGCTCATGACCAATGGCTCAGCCAGTCACGTGGTCCCCAACAGGCAGATTCAAGCACAAACAGACTATTTCCTCTCCGCCTGCATGATTTCATCATCCTGAAACAGTCAGCAGTACTCCATTTTTTAGTCCTGTGCCCCTGAAACTGATCTGAAAATCTCAACCCCCTGATCCACTAGGGAGGCTGATTTGGAGCAATAATAAAACCTCCATACTGTGTGTGTGCAGACTTGGAGTCATTAAAATCTTTCTTACTGCAAATCACCATCGGGATAAAATTGGTTTTGTTTGTGCAGGAGGCCAGAAGAACTTGTCTGGGAATTATAAGAGTGGATGGAGTTTGCATGTCCCTGCAGCAGTCCCATTGTCTTGTCCACAGAACAGCTCAAAAGGACAGAGCCCTTGAATGAATACGGGGAAGCGACTTCTCTTAGTGACCTGGGGACATTGGCTCGAGAGATGAAGATTGGCAGGAGTGGAAACTCCAGGTGATTCTGTGCCTTCTATTTCCTGGGGAGGTGGGCCAGCCACAGTTAGCAGGAAGGAACAGAACAAAGAATTAGAAGTAGACTTGAGAGTGTTCTGGGGAAGGGCTAGGGTTGGAGGAAGAAGCTGTGTAGGACAGGGCTTGCCAGTTAGAATGAAGTGGGAGGAAGATGAGGGACACAGAGAAGCAGAGAGAGGTGGTAGAGTGCAGCATGGGCAGTGAACAGTAGGTTCATCAGTGACTTCAGAGACCCCCAGGGACCAGGTGTCCCCAGTTCCACAGGCCAGGATCAGGGAGCCCTGAAAACCTTCCAGTGGCCAAAAGGCTTCAGATAGGCAGCATGAGTGGGTTGGCTTTTAGGGGCAAGAGGTAGTGGGGGATGAAACATGGGTGTCAGCCTCTGAATGACAAGGGACACGTGTGGCTAGACTTCCTAGATTCTGCATCTAAGATTCCAGTCTAAGAGGTTATGGATCATTCATTTCTTCATTCAATTCCTTCATTTTTTATGTGAGAGCTCCTGAGTGTGTGTCTCTCACTGGTCCTGTGCTGGTGCAGGGTGTGAGTGGGGAAAGAAAACAAGGTCCTCTCTTTCTCCTCCTGTCATGCCAGTGACATGGAAGCACTTTGGGAAACAGGATTTCAGGTTCAGTGTGATAGGGGTTAAGCATCTGGAGTGGGGAGACCTGGACATTTCACCTCGACTTGACAGTTGAGGCAGGTGATTTAGTTCTGGGAGTACAGACTAATCAGCTGACCATTTGCTCTCACCTCTGAGGTTTGGATGCCAGTTGAGGATTTGGGTTGAGATAATAAAATGACTATGGGTCCTTTTGGAATCCACAAGCCCCTCACTTCTGGTGGAGGAGAGTGATGGCTCAGGCTGCAGACAGACTCTCTATGTGGACTCTTTTTTGATCTGCCTTTTGTGTTTGTGTGATTCTGGCTCCAGTGACTGCGCCACGTGTGCCTCCTCCTGTGCCTCAGTTTTCTCTCAGTCAAATAAGGTAAAATGGCAAATGCTGACTGTGGTTTTCATGCTATCTGTGGAATAAATTGTAAATTCTTCACAGTCACCTGACCTAATGCTTGGTGCAGTGGAGGTGTTCACACAAACAGCATTTATTATTATTCACTTCCATGAGAGAGCACCTTTAGGTGAGATCCCTGTGGACAAGCTGCTGCCAGGTACATTTTCTCTGTTTCCTTTTAGCTTTTGGGGACATTAGACTCAAGAAAGCAGCTGGCTGATGACCACAAAGCTTGCTTCTGACCCTCTCCACCTGGGAGTCTCCCAGGTGAAGAAAACTCTGTCCCTGCCCAGGCAGTTCTCCTGAGGCTGAGCCCTGGGCAGTGAGCAGCTCCAGGAGACACAGTCCGCAGACAGCTGGTGAATCTCTGCCCCAGTAAGCCCTCCTGCAAGCCAGTTCCAGCCTTGGTACAGCCTCTCAGCTTTATCTGAGTAAGGATTAGGGACAGGGGTCTGGGGTTGGGAGGCCCAGGATGAGCTTTCTGAGAGTATCTCATGGGGCCTCTTAGGCAAAGCCCTACTCAGTTCTCCAGGGCCCTTTCCCTGTGATCCAGTTTCTTATGAAGAAGGCATGAGGTGCTTGGCTGAGATTTAGCCCTTGCTGAGCACCCCTCCTTCAGACTATCCTCTTCCTGTGCAGCAAGTGTCTGCAGGGTCTGGAGTAAGAGGTAGGAAAGGAATTTGATCTGTTATAGGTTGCTGTCTCCCCTTTGTGTGTGTCCTCCACTAAATGCCAAACACCAACATGCGACATAAGGTGAGAGGGACACAGGCCAAGCCCAGCCTGACAATCCTGTTTGTAAAGTAGAAGTGACCCCCACCCCCAACACCCAGATCATGTGGAATCACTCAATGTATAAGGTGAAATGTCCAATTACTCCTTTACTGTTATCACCTTGCTTTATGGTTTGTATGGTGGTGGATCCTGTGTCCTTCCGGTGACATTCTGGACTGGGTAGAGATGCATTGGAATATACTATTTCGCCCACTGTATGCAGGCCCAGCTATAATTGTTTCAGCCTATTACATATGATGTAATGTAATGGTGGAGGTCCATTTTTTGCCCTTTATACCAGATGTAGCCAGTAAGATTCTGGGGCAAATTGTGGACAAGTAGAAGAACATCCTTCCCTGAAACTTTGTTTGGCTGTGCTTCAATCGTGACTTCACAGTGGTGGGCGGGTTCCGAAGATTAAAAGCGATGCTAAGAGGTGGAGAGAACATCAGTCAATATTGCGACGATGTATGGGGTGCAATGGGACCCTGAGTCCTGAGTAGTCTTTCAGTCATCAGTCTTGAAGACACACACACACACATACAAACACACACACACCTTCAGTAGGAGATGTAGGACACACATACACCCTTTTGTGTGTGAACTACTGCTTAAGTCCTACTGGTCAAGGTCAGCAGCATGACCCCATTTCTTCAACCCTTACCTTGTCATATTATTTCTGTTTGGAATCCTCTTTTCCCCAGGATCTTCATGCTCCTCCACACCACCCTCAGGTCCTGCTCACATCAGGCATCCTTAGACTTCTTTCCCTGACACCTCCTTTAGAGACCCTGGGTCTTCCTTTCTGACCTTTCCCTGCTCTGCTCCCTCCGGAGCTCTTGTCAACACCTGACCTCACATTCTAGAATCTTGGCTGCTGTCTGTCTTCCTTCCCATGACAGCGTGAGCTCTCTGAGGACAGGGACTTTGGTGATATTGGTTGCACCCCAGTGCTCTTGAACAGGCTGCAGACTCCCGTAGATGTGAAAGTTCCCAGGTCCCTCTCCATGCTCCGGGGTTTTTTTTTTTTCTTTTACCAATTGTTGAGGTTTTTGGCTTGAGGACAGTGTTTCATGCAATAACAAGTTATATTTTCATTTAGTGTCATCTGATAATCATTATTATTATCATTTTTCAAAATGTGGTGTCCAGTGTTGATTAACCAGGAAAGCAGAATACTTGAGATTTTCCCTACTTTACCAATTCCAGTTCAATGTGATTCCTCTGTTTTGACCCTTCTGTCCTCTGGTGTATTTTCTTCCTATCCAGGCTCCAACAGAGCCTTCTCCTTTTTCTGTTTTTGTTTCTTTCTTTCTTTCCTTTATCTTTTTTTTCTTTTTTTTTTTTTTGAGACAGTCTCATACTGTTGCCTAGTCTGTTGTGAAGTGTCATGATTTTGGCTCACTGCAACCTCTGCCTGGTGCGTTCATGCAAATCTCCTGCCTCAGCCTCCCGAGTAGCTAGGGATTACAGAGCAAGCACCACCACACCTGGCTAATTTTTTTGTATTTTTGGTAGAGACTGGCTTCTTCACTGTGTTTAAGACCAGACTGGTCTTGAACTCCCGAACCTGATCCACCCACCTCAGCCTCCCAAAGTGCTTTCTTTCTTTATTTCTTAGAACCCCATCCTCTCCAGGAAAATCCATCCAATCATTCCTGCTTCCTCCCTCCCTGTTCCCTCTCCCAGGAAGCCTTCCTCTCACCTATGAGCAGGAGATCCTTCCAGGTGATGTGCAGTGTGCAGGGAGGCGCTGAGAGGGGCCCCATGGCCTGTGCTGCCTGCATGTTCTCCTCTGTGGAGATGAGCCTGGGATCCAGAATCCTTCCTATCACAGCCGTCAGCCATGCTGTCCTTTCTCCTTCTGTGCTGAGCTTCCTCACTGGGCAGGAGCAATTTCAGGCTCAGGTGGAGTCTGAGCCCAGGACACCTCTCTCCCCTCCCCTCTCTGTCCTGCCTGCTTGCTCCCTCCTTTCTTTTTTCCTTTTTTCTGTGTGTCAGGTCCCTGGGAATTGTAGAGGCCTCTGCCTTTTTCAACAGTGATTCTGTCACCAAACCTCAATGCACACTATAAAATTGAAACACACAAACACACACACAAAAGAGACACACACAGACACACACAGTCACACACATACCCTGTCGGTTGGGCAAGCACAGTCCTGGGTCTCAACCTCCTGCTGTCCGAATGGTTTCGTCAGGTGCACACCCTTTCCTCTTTCATCCTCACTCCGCTCACTTCAGTGCAAGAGGCTGGAGCTGCAACAGGTCCCTGTCACATACACCATTTGCTGTGGGTGAGCTGTGTGTCACCTGGTGAGAGTAGGGACCCTTCCTTTCTCTTCTAATTGTGTCAAGTTTGGCTGCAGCTTCCAAGGATGGACATTCAGCACCTGGGATGTCCCAGAGGAAACTGTCCTTTCTGAGGTGGCAGGTGAATCTCACATGCCTCTCTTGGGAGGAGAGGCCTCTGCTGGTTGCTCGGTAAGGGCTGTGAGTGCCATGGTCAAAGAGACAGTTCTCAGTCACTCTGTTTCTCCCTGGGGTCTGGTGGCTGAGCTGTGGCTCTGGGTGTCTCATTTCTTCCTGACCATCTTTGGTGTCCACCAGGGCAGGAGGATCAATGCCCGGGGAGCAGGGACAAGTCATTTTTATTTTCTCATTCCCAGGGACCAGAACCCAGGATTCTGACTTCAGGGCACGGTATCACACCCTGCTGGTGTCCATGAATGTCATGAGTGCTCATAGTGTCATGTTGCCTTGGCATTCATTTTTTAAGGTGTACGTTTATTTGCCTCATATCAGAGGCAGGCCTGGGTCACCATGGCAGTTTTCAATACTGTATCTGGTTCAAGTGGGTCCAGTTGGTGGCCAGAGATAAAATCTTAGAGGCATCTCTCCTGCTTGGTGTGCTGGGCTCCCCTCTTTCCAGCTGCTTTCTTTAAACGGATAATTCTGACATTTGCCCTCACATTTAAAGTGACCACTTCTCAGTCACAGCATCATCTCCTGTTCTCAGTGTTTGCTGCTTGCTTCAAACATATCCATTAAAGCTCCCTGCTGGAAACCTGTCAGATAACACCTGGACTTACTAAAGCCTTTGGGTTACCGGTCTCTTCTCTGCCTAGGCTCACTGAACTCTGTATCTGTGGTCTCCAGTTGTGCCGAGTGCTCCCCAGTGTCTGTAAGTAGTAAAATCACTTACACTTTCACGTTGTGGTTGTATCACTATAGCCTCACATGCCATCCAGGGCCTGACATCGAGGCTGTCCTATGGGACCTGTGCTAGTTGAACCCCTGCTGGATCTCTTGTTTTGGGACCTCTGCTTCTTCTGGGCACAGGAGCTTCCAGCTAACTTGATTGAAAGAGTGATATGTTTCATTGAAAACACTGGTTCAGATGATGTATTCAAGGGCTTCAGCTGCCATAACAAACACCTTAGCCTGGGTGAATTAAATAATGGAAATCAAGTTTTCACAGTTCTGTGAATAATGTGCTATACTAACCACTTTAAAATGTGCAATCAGGTGGAATTAACCACATACACAGTGTTCAGTTACCATCACCACTATTTTTCTGGGAAAATTTTTACCATTTTAAACTGAAACTTTGTATCTTTGAAACAATAATAACTCCCTGTATTTTCCACCCCAGAACTTGATCATCTCTATTCTGTCTCTATGAATTTGCCTATTCTTGATGTTTCATATAAATGGAATTATAGATATATGTTATTTTGTTTCTGACATATGTCACTTAGCATAATGTTTCTAAAGTCCCTACATGTTCCAGCGATGTCAGAGCTTCATTCCTCTTTATGGCAGATTAACATTCCATTGTATGTGTCACCACATTTGTTTGTTCATGTGTTGATGAACACTTGGATTGTTTTCATATTTTGTCTTTTGTGAGTAATGCTGCAATCAACATCCTAGGTAAGTACCTGTTTGAGTCCCTGGATTCAATTCTTTGGGTATATACCTAGGAATGGATGCTATTCCGTAGGAGAATTCTATGATTAGCTTCTTGAGGAGCAGCACAACTGTTTCTCCTAGTGGCTGTACGTTTTTATAATCTCACCAGCAATGTATGAGGATTCCAAATTCTACATAAGGCTTTCACTTGTTATTTTATATTTTAAAAGAATGGTAGCCATATTTCTAGGTGTAGTGTGGTATCTCATTGTGGCTTTGACTTTGTATTTTCCTAATGACTAACGATGTTGAGTTTCTTTTCAGGCCCCTCTTGATGATTTGCATATCTTCTTTGAAGAAAAGTCTATTTGAGTCCTTTGGCCCATTTATATAAATTGTGTGGTTTGTCTTTTTGTTATCGAGTTGTAGCAGTTCTTTATATATTCTGGGCATGAAACCATTGTCTATGTGATTTACAACTATTATGTCTCATCCTGTGTTTGGTCTTTTTATTTTCTTGATAATATCCTTTGATGCACAAAAGGCTTGCATCTTTAGCCCAGTTTATCTGTTTTTCCTTTTTGTGTCTCACGCATTTGGGTCATACCTGAGAATGCATTGCACATTTGAGGTCATTAAGTTTTACCGCTATGTCTTTTTCTAAGATGTTTTTATGGTTATAAATCTTATAATTAACTCACTGATCCATTTTTAGATAATTGTTTGATATGGTTGGAAGTATGGTTTTCTAAGTTTATTGTTTTGCATGTGGTTATCTAGTTGTTTCTGTACCATTATTTGAGAGGATGATTGTTTCTCCATTAAATTATCTTGACACCCTTATGCAAGAGCAATGAACTATGAGGGTGAGGGTTTATTTCTGGACTCTCAATTGTATCCCTTTGGTCCCTATTTGTATTATTATGCCAGCAGCCTCTTTTTTTAATAGTTGTAATGTTTTGTGAGATTTCAAATAAGAACGTTTAAGTTCTGCAATTTATTTTTGCAAAATTATTTTGGCTCTTTCAAGGATACTTTTTTGAAAAGCAAAGAGGCCAGTGTTTTGCAATTAGAAAGCATTTTCTGTCTTCTTTCGACAGAAATTTTGCAGTCTAGGGATCTTTTCAGGAATTTTATCAAAGTAGGTAAATTATCATCACTTCCTTTGCTGAGGTACTGTGTTAAAATGTGTGTTGAGAAATTGAGAGACCCTGGAAGCACTTGCCCATGTGGTGAGGGACAGTGAGCTCCATAATGAGGGACACAGAAAACATTACTTTGGGGCACAATGTTGTCAGGTTAGCTGTGTGCATCACTCAGTAGAGTGAAAGCAGCTGAGACCCAGAGAAACCAGTGAGGTCTGACTCTTAGAAGCCAAAGACCAGCAGGTGGGTGTCCTTAGGGGCAAATGGACTGCAGTGGTACCCATTGCAATGGAGTGGAAAAAGGTAAGAGGCTTTAGATATTCAATTTTCTCACTCAGCTCTTCAGCAGATTTGGGCCCTGGGCTGATACTGTTCTGCAGCAGGGTCAGGGTAGACAGGAATGGCTGCATATCAGGCCTAAGTCCGTGTCCTCCTCTCAGGCATTGCCACTGAAAATGGAGAATTTTGTTCAGAGGCCCAGCCTGGGCACATGGGACGAACCACTTTATTAAAATTTATTTAAGGAAACAGTGTGCACGCTTTATTCTTCTAGAATAATTGTAAAGGTGATGTTTTACAATGTATCTCTTAAAGAAACTGTGAGAATCATCTACATAATATATGTTTTGTGTGGTCTTTTCTATAATTGCAGCTTTCATATGTTCTTCTAGAAACCATTTCCTTTGGGAACACACAGGCAATATCTCTGAGTTCATTTCTACTGGGAAATCTTTATGCAGGGTGGAAAGAGTCACATTTCCTAATGAGATATGGAAAGCATCTAACTACCAAAAAAAGTGTCCAGATGCTGCTGGTAATGATCATGGGGCTGCAGGTGGAGGTCAGTTTAAGGAGGTGTCAGGGAAAGTAATTTTGACTGTCTCTTGTTTTTTTTTTTTTTTCTTAAACAAAATCATGGGTAGAAGCCACCACCTGGACCCACCACATGTTGGAATGGATGAGGGACAGAAATAGAGCTCAGTCAATTAAGAAAGAAATCCAGGAGTGAGTAAGAGGTTTGAGAGGTCGACGGGTGTGAGAGGTGGATAGGTGAATGGTGAGAATGTTCAAAACATCTTCTTTCTCCATAATAACAGAGCATTTAGGCCCCTGAGTCAGACAGTGTCCAGGCCAGGAGGAGCAGGATGTTGTCAGCTCTCCTGGGCAAAAGTGAGACTCCAGCAGTGTCCAGTTTCTTGGTCCAATTTGGGAGTTATTCCTATTTTAAAAATGATCCAACAGTATACAATTTTGAAAATATACAAAAATCCCTATGCTACCATTCATAGATAACCAAGATGGCCCTAAGATGGTGAGAGAATCAGAATGGTGTTTGGGTTTACTTTGTGTATTTTTTTCTCCCAATATCTACAGAATTCCCTACATCCCACTTTTTAATGTAACCCAGTGGGTGTCACTCCCTTTCACAGTTCCAGACCTTTCTGCTTCACGGTTACAGACCCTTGGAAAACCCATACCCTTTCTGCTGTGAGGTACAGGCAGCCATGTGGCATCACCTCTAAATATGCCTTTGGGACATCAAATTGCTGATTAAGTAAAAGTCATTTCAGTAGATATTGAAGACCTCCATTTTACCCCTCTCACACTTGTAATTCTTCTACCAAGAGGTGATGGATTTTAGTGGTGATTTGCTTTTATAGATTAGTGTAGATTATTGCTTCTGCCAAGGGCAAATTTTTCATTGGGAAAAGGATTTGGCAAAGTCTGGAAACACTGCTCTTTGTCAGAGCTGGGAGAGAGAGTCCTGCTGCCCTTGAGTGGGTAGAGTCCCCAGCTAGTGCTGAACATTCTAGAGCTCACAGAGCACCCCCAGCATGACCACTACAAAGTTCAATGCTGAGGAGGTGTGGAGAACCCTGATGTGCCTCCCCTAGCTTCCCTGGAGCTTTTTACCTTCTCCTTCCATCAGTCTCCACCGCTTTCTCACCTCAGCTTGCTCTTTGAGCCTTAACGCCCTCCACTTGAACTTGCCCTTAATTTAAGACCTGCTGTAATCTCTTGACTTCCTTGGCCCCTTTCTGATCCTTAGCAGGGTCCAACGCCTCCACTTGAACTTGCTCCTTAGTTTAAGCACCTGCTGTAACTTTGACTTTGGCCCCTTCTGATCCTCCTTAGCAGGGTGTATTTCTAGAGGGCACCCTCCCCCTCACCTTCCTGAGCTTCCCAGGATCCACAGATGCCCCTGCCCTGTGGCAATTTTTCAGGAGTGGCCGTGCTCAGGAACCCTGTTTGGGCACCAGGGATATGGCCGTGTGCCTGTGTCCCTAAAAGTCCTGTCACTCAGGACATTTGTGTGAGAGCAACTGAGGTGATACTACTCTCCCCTACTTTTCTTGGAACATAAAAATTTGTACAAATCTTGTAGAGCAAAATTTCTTAATGCATGTCAAAATTTAAAAAATATATATTTTTGCCTCCCAAACTTTACTGGGAAAAATGTATCACAGTCCCAGTCATAAAAAATGACACCTAGAGGCGGAGCAAGATGGCCGAATAGGAACAGCTCCAGTCTCCAACTCCCAGGGCGAGCGACACAGAAGACCGGTGATTTCTGCATTTTCAACTGAGGTACTGGGTTCATCTCACTGGGGAGTGCCGGAGGATCGGTGCTGGTCAGCTGCTGCAGCCCGACCACTGAGAGCTGAAGCAGGGCGAGGCATTGCCTCACCTGGGAAGCGCAAGGGGGAAGGGAATCCCTTTTCCTAGCCAGGGGAACTGAGACACACAGCACCTGGAAAATCGGGTAACTCCCACCCCAATACTGCGCTTTAAGCAAACAGGCACACCAGGAGATCATATCCCACACCTGGCCGGGAGGGTCCCACACCCACAGAGCCTCCCTCATTGCTAACACAGCAGTCTGTGATCTACCGGCAAGGCAGCAGCGAGGCTGGGGGAGGGGCGCCCGCCATTGCTGAGGCTTAAGTAGGTAAACAAAGCTGCTGGGAAGCTCGAACTGGGTGGAGCTCACAGCAGCTCAAGGAAACCTGCCTGTCTCTATAGACTCCACCTCTGGGGACAGGGTGCAGTAAACAATAACAAATGCAGCAGAAGGCTCTGCAGATGCAAACGACTCTGTCTGACAGCTTTGAAGAGAGCAGTGGATCTCCCAACATGGAGGTTGAGATCTGAGAAGGGACAGACTCCCTGCTCAAGTGGGTCCCTGAACCCGGAGTAGCCTAACTGGGAGACATCCCCCACTAGGGGCAGTCTGACACCCCACACCTCACAGGGTGGAGTACACCCCTGAGAGGAAGCTTCCAAAGCAAGAATCAGACAGGTACACTCGCTGTTCAGAAATATTCTATCTTCTGCAGCCTCTGCTGCTGATACCCAGGCAAACAGGGTCTGGAGTGGACCTCAAGCAATCTCCAACAGACCTACAGCTGAGGGTCCTGACTGTTAGAAGGAAAACTATCAAACAGGAAGGACACCTACACCAAAACCCCATCAGTACATCACCATCATCAAAGACCAGAGGCAGATAAAACCACAAAGATGGGGAAAAAGCAGGGCAGAAAAGCTGGAAATTCAAAAAATAAGAGCGCATCTGCCCCGGCCAAGGAGCGCAGCTCATCGCCAGCAACGGATCAAAGCTGGACGGAGAATGACTTCGACGAGATGAGAGAAGAAGGCTTCAGTCCATCAAATTTCTCAGAGCTAAAGGAGGAATTACGTACCCAGCGCAAAGAAACTAAAAATCTTGAAAAAAAAGTGGAAGAATTGATGGCTAGAGTAATTAATGCAGAGAAGATCATAAACGAAATGAAAGAGACGAAAACCATGACACGAGAAATACGTGACAAATGCACAAGCTTCAGTAACCGACTTGATCAACTGGAAGAAAGAATGTCAGCGATTGAGGATCAAATGAATGAAATGAAGCGAGAAGAGAAACCAAAAGGAAAAAAGAAGAAAAAGAAATGAACAAAGCCTGCAAGAAGTATGGGATTATGTAAAAAGACCAAATCTACGTCTGATTGGGGTGCCTGAAAGTGAGGGGGAAAATGGAACCAAGTTGGAAAACACTCTTCAGGATATCATCCAGGAGAACTTCCCCAACCTAGTAGGGCAGGCCAACATTCAAATCCAGGAAATACAGAGAACGCCACAAAGATACTCCTCGAGAAGAGCAACTCCAAGACACATAATTGCCAGATTCACCAAAGTTGAAATGAAGGAAAAAATCTTAAAGGCAGCCAGAGAGAAAGGTCGGGTTACCCACAAAGGGAAGCCCTTCAGACTAACAGCAGATCTCTCGGCAGAAACTCTTCAAGCCAGAAGAGAGTGGGGGCCAATATTCAACATTCTTAAAGAAAAGAATTTTAAACCCAGAATTTTATATCCAGCCAAACTAAGTTTCATAAGTGAAGGAGAAATAAAATCCTTTACAGAAAAGCAAATGCTTAGAGATTTTGTCACCACTAGGCCTGCCTTACAAGAGACCCTGAAGGAAGCACTAAACATGGAAAGGAACAACCGGTACCAGCCATTGCAAAAACATGCCAAAATGTAGAGACTATCAAGGCTAGGAAGAAACTGCATCAACTAACGAGCAAAATAACCAGTTAATATCATAATGGCAGGATCAAGTTCACACATAACAATCTTAACCTTAAATGTAAATGGACTAAATGCTCCAATTAAAAGACACAGACTGGCAAGCTGGATAAAGAGTCAAGACCCATCAGTCTGCTG